GTGCTTTTGGCCATTTGTGTCTTTAAAGGCACAGCAGGTCCTTCCCCCTGATACCAATAGCCAACTCTAGATGATGAACACTAAACAGATTTATAGAGTCAACAACCCTGACAATAGACAATGATGTGACCCTTTTAGGTTTTCCCTTAAATTCAGTAGCAGCAGTAGCAGCAAGAAGGCCCTTTGCTCAAGAGATCTACTAGTTTTCTTTCAAATTACAGGAAGTTAATTTTTTACCACAACAACTAGATAAACCCTTATAAGCAAAATAACTTGTCATTATCCTCACCTCCCTTAGTTACCTTGGTCTATGGAGTAGCAAGTTATTGAATGACTACACAGCCAAAGTTACTACCATTTGCACAAAAATCAGGAAAAGCATAAAAACTTTCATTTTAAAAGTTTGATTGTTATTTATGTGAAAGATGAAATGACAATCCATTGGTTTCATGGAAATTGAGGCCCACTGGTTGGGGTAGGGAGGGTAACTGAATTAGAGAATTAAATACTGAAAATAAGTAATTTAGCTTTACTTCATAACTTCCTGATTTAATACGCTTTGCATTGTACCAGTCACTCAGAACATGCATCCCATAGGAATATGACCTGTGTCCTACTCTCAGCTCCATAGCAGGCTTGGGTAAATTACTTAGCTCCTATGAGCATACATTTCCTAGTTTGTAAAATTCTGGATTATATGGGTTGTCTTACTTACCAGTCTGGGTTGTTACAAATAATTTAGGGTATATGAACAACTCATTTTTTAAAAAATTTAAAACATGTTACAATGGTAACGTGTTTATATTATTAAGGGTAACTAGGTCCTTCAATTTATCTATCATAGTCAGGTATGGGATTTCTTAGGTTGCTGGCAGCTTTAGGATTTGGTGTTTTAATGAAAACCTTGAACCACTGGAAACAGATTAAATTGTGCTAAGTAAGTTCTATTCAAACAAGCAGAGCAATGAGTAAAATATTTTAGATGTATTGCTTCAGAAGTACTTGAAAAATACAGCTTTGAAGAATAACTACCTTCTTAGGAGTTCCAGATAGATAAGCTATATTTTCACGTTAGAATATTTCAGATAAATTCCTGTGTAATACTGTTCTTATATATTTGATGTCATACTTAAAACTAGCTCTAATAATGTCCTAATTATGTCTTAACTGGCTGAATGAATTGAAAAGTACCAAAAATTTTTACTCACAAGTACTTATTCTTGGAAATTCCAATTTTTAAAATGAGATGAATTCATAAAATAATCACCAATACAAACAGAATACATTGTTTCTAACATTCAAAATTTGAATTTTGTGTAAGCCATTGATTTTTGTTTGTTTGCTCATTTACGAAGAGTTGAGCTTAGATTAATATAACACCTTGAATATCTTTATCTTGGCCAACATGTCTTTATTAACATTGTCCTTTTTATCCATTATTACTATTCATTTTTAAATTTACAAACAGGAAAACTCACTGTTTTGGTGTACAGATTTATGAGTTAAAACAATCATATATAGCTATGAAACCACCATCACAATTAAGACATTGAACAGTTTTATCACTCCCAAAAAATCCCTTATGCTGTTTCTTTATGCTCAATCTCTCCAGCCACCCAGCCCTTGGCAATCACTAACTCATTCCTATAGTTTTGACTTTTACAGAATGCCATATAAATGAAATAATAAAGTATGTATTTCTTCTGAGACTAACTTCTTTAATTTAGCATAATGTGTTTGACCTTTTAGGGGTCACTGTATATTCTGGATACAAGTCCCCTATTAGCAATATGATCTGCAAACATTTTCTCCCCATTTGTGGCTTGTCTTATTATTTTATTCACAGTGTATTCAACAGAGAAGTTTTTATTTATTTTTTTCACTTTTTAAAAATTTGTATTCTTTTTCATTGAAGTATAGTCAGTTTACAATATTGGAGAAATCTTTTAATTTTGATGAAGCCCAATTTAACACTGTTCTTTAGTTTTATGAATTGTGATTTTAGTGTCATATTTAAGAAAACTTTGTCTAGCACAAGGTCACAGAAACTTTTTCTTATGTTTCTTCTAGTAGCTTTATATTTGTGCATTTCTCATTTAAGTTTAGGATCCATTTGGAGTTAATTTTTTGTATAAGATGTGAAGTACAAGTAAAATTTTATGGCTTTTTTCCATATGGATATCCAATTGTTCCAGCATTATTAATTAAAAAAAATTGGATTGTTTTCACCTTTGTTTAAAAATCAACTGACCGTGTATATGTGCCCCTATTTCTGGACACTCTTTTCTGTTCCATTGGTCTATGTGTCAATTCTTTCATTAAAACCATACTGTCATAACTAATGTAGCTTTATAGTGAATCTTGAATCAGAAAGTGAGTCCTGTAACACTGTTGTACTTTTAAAAATCAATTTACCTATTCTACATCCTTTACACTCTCATGTAAATTTTGGAATCAGTTTGTTGATACCCACAAAAAGTCCTGCTGGGATTATGTGTGGGATTGGACTGAATCCATAAATCAGTTTAGGGACAACTGATATGTCTTCCAATTCATGAATATGATATATATCTTTTTAATTATTTAGATGTTGTTTGATTTCTTAGAGTTTTTCAGTTTTCAGCATACAGATTCAGTACATAAGTCTGTTAAATTTATACCTGTGTATTTCTTGTGTGTGGATTTTGGGGGGAGTGGTTATTGTAAATGGTATTTTTTAAACCATGGTAACTATAGTTAAAAATAACGTACTGTGTATTTGAAATTTGCTAAGAGAGTAGATCTTTTTTTTTCTTCATTTTGTGTTCTTTATTTAACAATAAATCTTAGACACCTTTCTGTATCAGTATATGGCTTCTTCATTTTTCACAGCTATATAGTATTCTATCAAATGGCTTTACCATAATTAATTTAACCAGTTCCTTCTTGGTGGATGCTTGACTTGTTTCCATTCTTTTTTTTATTGATTCATAATCATTTTACAGTGTTGTGTCAAATTCCAGTGTTCAGCACAATTTTTCAGTCATTCATGGACATATACACACTCATTGTCACATTTTTTTCTCTGTGATTTATCATAACATTTTGTGTATATTTCCCTGTGCTATACAGTGTAATCTTGTTTATCTATTCTACAATTTTG